CCCATCTTCTGCCTGATCCCTGGCATCAAGCTGGGGGCCACAGGATCAGCCACAAAGTAGCTCCAGATCTAGAAGCCATGCATGCAGTCCAGCTGGGGTGTACAGGAGACCCTTGCCATTCGGGGGAATAAGTTCTTATATCCCCTGCAAATGAAGAAATCCGCAAATAAGGCACTGCGTTCATGAACACAGTGCCCTGGCAGCTTGGGAGGGTGGGTGTGGGGACAGCTGCACTGGTGATGGCAGGAGTGCAGCAGCAGTGGCAGGAACCTGGCAGCAGCAAGCACAGAGCTCCCGAGGAGCTCCTTTAAGTGCATTTAAAATGCGGGTTCAGCATTCGTGAATATCTGAAACTGCAAATGCCGAACCCGCAAATACCAAGGGTTCCCGTATTTAGATTCATTCATAGATGATTCATATCTGCAGCATTTAAAAACCTGGGGGAAACCTGCAGCAGGGAAACCCAAAAATCAGAGCGCCTCAATATGGAATTCTGAGCACCTCAGGACTGCGCTACATATGCAGTCCAGCTGAGAGGCATACATTGGGTTTTAAAGCTGGAGCTACCCAAATTGGGATCAGTCATGGGGCAGCCACAGGGCAGAGTTTGGGACTGGGCCTGCCCCAGCCCCAAGCCTCATCCTAGGCTTCTGGTAGTGGGGCTGTCTCATAAATCTAAGAATATGCTATAGCTAGTGCCACATGTCAAATAATCCTTACACAGCCTTTACACTCAAATATTTAACTTTTACACTTAAAAAAAAAAATTAGACCAAGCGTTAGTCTGAGATCCCTTTGGAAAGTATCAAGCTATCTATTAAACATCTGGTAGCTTCCCTTTCTGTGAGCAAACAAATCATACAATGGTAACTGTGGATGTGGGAATCATACTTTCTTCCTAAAGAGGAGCTGGAAGTCTCAAGTGACATTTTATTTTAAATGCAAGTAAGTGATCATATCAGAGAAAGAAGTTTACCCTTATTTGAAATGTTGTGCACTGCACTAATTTTAACCAACAAACTACGTATTGCAGATGGATTACTTGTAGAAGCAAACCATAAATAAACTTGAGAGAAAAAAAAAGGTTATTCTTTCACATTTGGCCTCAGACTGCTTATGTTATCCTGCTTCATGGTATCTGCATTACTGGCACTGATGTTGAACACTGACACACAAAATAGTAAAGAAAACAATGACCACAGAGAGATGCTTTAATTGGAGAGCTTTGGGAGTATCTAACCAAGACGTTCACATTGTACAGATTAGTCTGTCAGATATGTTTATGCTTTTAGCACTCCACATATTTTTAAATGTCAACCCCAAGGATCTCTTTATAACCCACAGATGCATGTAATTATCTAAACCATAATGCTACATGTGTGATGGTGATAGCTTATTAATCAGTTAAGAATATGTAAGAGATAGTTAAAGGTCTTTGGGGAGTTTTCTTAATTAGCCGGAGTTTAAGAGGACAGCACTATAAAATAGCAAGGCATAACAACAACTTTCAATGAGGAAGTTCAATGAGTTAGTGTAAAACCTTTATAGTTTAGTCTCACTGTGCATTCCATATATGCCATTTTACAGAAATATGCTTTTTGTTTTGAAGAATATGTTGGATTTCTCCAGTGCAAACATCAAATACTTTAGTTACCATTAGTCCAACTGTACAAAGCAGAGGGGGAAAGGTCGTAAGATTAACCATTCTAAAATTTACCTAAAATAGCTCTTTGATGCATAAAAATGTAATTAAGTTTTAGTGCAATTGTCGTTCTCCAGGGACAGAACAACTATGAATCTTGTAACAGCATTACATTTTTGATTCATTACATGTATTCCACCGCAAACCCCCAGAACCTTCTTGTGTCACTGCCTAGCCAGTTTCCCCCAGTTCCATATATTTGTGCACTTGACTCTTCTTTTCTACATGTATTACTTTATGCTTGTCTTTTTTTGAAATTCATTTCGTCTATAAACCATTTATCAAGATCCTTCTGAATTTTAAACTATCCTCTAATGTATTTGCCACCTCCCCAGTTTTGTATTTCTGCAAATTTGATCAGTATACTACCCATATCAATGCTATTAATAAGTGTTTGGCAACAACATGCTAAAATAGACCTATATGAAAGACCAGGTGACACCTCCTACCAGCTGACATTGATCCTTCAGTAGTTCTTCAGTACTTGCTCAATTCAACTTGATTTTTCTAAAAAGATTGTTGGCCTAAGGTGCAAAGTTGACAGCGTTCAGCTTGGACACATGGACTGGCTTAAGGGCAGGTACCTCATAAGGAACCAAGCTAAATATGAATCATCAGAAAAATGATTCCTCATTTTCCATGTTTCCATTTATTTAAAAAAAGCATCATCCGTTTATTTAAAAAAAAGCATCATAATATTGCAGTTTAAGCTAACTTTCAGAATGCCCTTATGTATTAGTTTATATAACCACATTTCTATACAAGCCTGTCCACTTAAAATTCTTAGGTTCGAGGATAAGAAAAATGTCCTCAAGGAAAGCCAAGTGTCTTTTAATTTACATGAAGAAACAAGAGAAGAACAAGTTGACAGCTCCAAGTGGCATCTCAATATGCATGTTCTTATTGGGCAGTTAAAAACATGCCTGCTTGTTTTAGTCTCAGCTTTTAAATGCTTTGTTGCATTAGAAAGGCCCATGAATTCTCTTCCTTCAAATTAATAAAACTGTTGACTAAAATTTCAGTCAGCTGTACTCCTGCAAATACACTGAAAAGAAGAGTTGGCCGAGTGTCAGAAAGCATAAATTAAAAACAACAGCCCTGCACAGAATGTAACCTGACATACAGAACATCTATTGCTTGTGATGCTGTGTGAAAAAAGAAAGGATCCACAGTGGGTCTGCAGGAATGGCAATTACTGAAATGTCCTTTTTCCTTGTAAACTGGGCACATTTGAGATAGAAATCCCAGAGGAAGAGACAATAAATACATTACCTTAAAGAGTCACTTCAAGAGTTTAAAAGTCAAAAAGATTTGGGTTAAAACAAGGTTAGCCACCAGCTGGTTGGGTTCTGCCTCAAACAAACAAAAAATACTTTAGAGTGAGATGAACTAGTAGTAGCTATAATAATTAGGAAAGGTGACCTAAACTGTTATGATTTTGGTAGCTTATGTTAGAAGACATATACTAGGAACAAGGGAAAAAAGCTAGAAAATGAAAACCCATTAGATGAAAGGACAAGACAAAATTGGAAAGCTTTGAACTTTATTTACAGACATCAAGGTTCAAGAGTATGCTGAACAGAGAACCAAGAACATACCTCCAACATTTGTTATGAACTGACACAACAGATTCACTGTGGAAACATTTATTCCTCAAACAGAAAAAGGTAAACATTACTCAAAATGAAGAAACTAGCAATTCTTTAAGTAAGATGATTAAATTAAATTTTGTACCACGCACATTAGGCAAATACCCCTCCTGCATTGAGCTGTAGGAGTCCATGTTCACCATCTCTCTAGTAACAACCAAGTCAATCCAACATATTAAATCAGGGCTGTCCACCTTTTGGGCAGGCATCCCCCTGGTTCCTCCTACCATGTGAGCTTCCTAGTGCCCACCCTGCCACCTGCACAGCCCAACTCTCCCTTTCTTCCAGCTGTATGTACCATGTGGGCCACCCAGCATCCCCTTCACCCCATGCTCCTACACTGTAGGAGGCCCAACTCCCTCATCACCCCATGCATTCATACTGTACCATCTGTCCAAAAGTGTGGGTAACCTGGCTCTCTCCTTCACCCCACACACAGCTTTGGCACTCCAGCCCCCTCCTGGCCTCCAGGGCAAGAGCAACTGAGGGAGGGATGGAGGGAGGGAAGAGGAATGATGGCCAGACAGGAGCCTGTGGGCAGTCTGTCAGCCACCCGCTGGACAATTTTGTACCAAATAAGGCATGCTTGTTTAGTGCTAAGATTGGTAGATATGAGCATATATTAAAAGTTAAAGTTCAAAATCCAACCTGACCTCTAACGTTTACCTTAGCAATGTGTTTTAACCACTTTGTCTGCAAACAGGTCTAATAACAGCTGGTCTAATAAAAGATATAGTTTCATAGTTTCACATCTACCCAAAGAACCTTGTCATCTGCAGACAGATTTTTGAGTATTTTCCTAATGCTTTGAAATGGACCTGGAAAAGAACCCTCTATTTTCTATCCCATCAGCTATGTTCTTCCTCTGTCCTTTACAATTTTAAGCCTGGAATGACTGATATTCACCAAGTAAGGGGAGAGGTCCATAACTTCCCCCCGGTGACCTCTGAGTAAGTTTCCTTCCAAAACTTTTAAAAACTGTGAAATTAACCAGATCTGCCTGATTTGATGCTGAGTTTCTATCATCTTCTTACCCTCTCCCCCTCAGTTCTTACAGAGATCCTCAACCTTGTGCTGCAGGAATTGGGCCCTATTACTTTCAAATAAATAAAAGCTTGCCCACTGGTGTCATGCTCACTATTCCACTGTGGGGTTTGTTTGTTTTTTGGTTAGAGAAGGATTGAACAGGACCAGTAGAAGGAAAAGAGGCTCAGAGCTCATTTTCTAGGGGCAGGACAGGGGGTTTAGTCTTCTAACAGGCATTGATTTAAAAGGAAGGAGTCTGCGGTTAAACCCGGATTACTGCCTTTGGCAGGTTTCTAAACACAATGATAGGGAACCAGTTTACCCTTCCCCCTCCACCGGCCCTTAGGTGAAGGGCAGGGCTTCCTCTGCACCCGGGCGGGCTGCGAGTGCCCTCCCCTCCCCTCCCCCAGGCACAGACGTTTCTAATTCCTCCTTCCCACTTCGAGCCCCTGCTCTCTGGCTAAGTTGAGCAGAGCCAGAGCCGGCTGCATGTTTCCTCC